AAGACAAAGACCAGCGACACTCCAACCAAAGCTCATTTCATCTCACCCCGTGGAGATTTGCCCCGTCACTGTCACAACTACTACCATGACCTCACCTGCAGTGATGGGTGAGTCCTTCTCCTCTTCCCCGGATTCGATGTTCTCTGTGGAAGGCGTGGCAGTGGGAGTGGCCACTACCTTCTCCTCTCAAATCAAGTTACAGTTTGCTAGAATCATTTCAGGGCCAGCTAAAAGTCTTGCTTCATGTCCTGTCCAAACTCCTATTGAATTTTCCTTTCAGCCGCTGCCTGGGCCACACTGGTCCATGTTGAGGCTGCAGCTCATGCTTCCACCATGTGGAAGAGGCCTCTGAAAGACCCTCCCGGGACATATATGTTTAGAAAACGCCAGGTCTGTCGGGAACCAAGCACCTGATTCAAGTCACCACCAAGTGCTGATCAGCTGAGCTTCTCTCTCTTCACCCGTGTGTCCAAGAAACTGCAGATCTGATGGTATGATGACAAAATCAACCACTGACCTGTAACTGAGAGTCCCGTTCAACACCATCAGTCACTGAATCATACACGCTCTCTTTCTAAGGAGTGCTGGAACATCACATTTTCTCTCTGCACTCATGTTAAAGTCAACTTTAACAGTTAACACCTGTTAATGTCGGTGTAAACCTGCCTCCACTGGTTTACACCGACCTCAGCAGGCATTTCCAACCTGCTAATCTCTGCTCTAAATCAGATTCCATAACAAAGTGGTTGAGTCGCAGCTTTGTGATTAAGTCTGCACAGTGTAGTGTTTCAGCTGTTGTCACATGCAAAGTGCCCACTCAGAGAGAAGGTTATAACCTACATGTGGCTGAAGCTTCCTGTTGGTGACCCATATTTGTCAGTAAACAGCTAACCACAGGAAGCTGCAGGCTGAATATTGCTCCATTACTTTATTACCTGCTGTCATAGAGCAGATATATTGACTGGACCCTTGATTAGCGATGCCCTGCTATTATCGGCTTGGACCCTTTTTGTATTCAGAGCTCTCATAGTCCTGAGATTCAGTAAGATGCTGGAAACATTCCTCAGAGACGTTAGTCCATAAGGACAGATAGTGTCATGAAATCAATATCCTTAGTGTCCTTATTTTCCTATTATATTGTTTTATGTACTTTAATAATGAAGGCTTGTAGAGCAAGGCCACTTTTGACTCACAAACTAAGTGCTCAGCCAGACTGAAAGACAGGAAGTTTTAGTGCACAGCCATATTAATGGATAAGACACAGAAAAGAGGAACTTTTCCATATAAGCAATGTTTGAGACTGTGTGACGTGTAAAGTAAAAAATAAAACCTATATGAGGCACAGTTTATGATTCTAATGTTAGAGCTCTTGCAACTGGCGTTTGGGCTGTGCAGGGGTCTTTTTCTTCCAGAAGATTATTGAATAAAAAGAAATATAAATGTTTTAACACACTATGAGTCGGTTTTCTCTGTTCTGTCATGGGGACAAAAGAATCGGGGTTAATAATAGCATCACACAAAGGCTGCAGGTCGCTGATGTGAATCTTCTGCTCCACCATATTTCAAAAGTGCTCTACTGGGCTGAAATCTGAATCCAGATCTCAGTTACTTGTCCAACAAGTAACCAGTTTGAGATGTTTGTAGCTTTGTGACATGTTACATGTCTGTTGAAAGGTTTTAGGCAGGTGAGAAAAAACGCTGTAAAGAAAGAACACTTTCAGAAATGGAAGTGCTAATCATTTATTATTATCAATCAGCAAAATGCAGTGAATGAACAAAAGAGAAATCACATCAATATTTGGTGGGACCAGCCTTTGCCTTCTTTTAGGTCCACTTGCACACAGTTTTTGAAGGAGCTCGGCTGGTAGGTTGTTCCAAACATCCCGGAGAACTAAGCACAGATCTTCTGTGGATGAAGGCTTCCTCACATCCTTCTGTCTCTTCCCTGAGTAAATGTGGTTATTCCGGCTGGACTTCTGTCAAAGCTGGGAAGGCGCCTAAAGAAAGCTCCAGCTGATCCAGGAGAGAAGGACAACCGAACCGAAGCAAAAACCTGTAGTGATGTGTCAGCAGTATCGGAGCAGTTGAGACGCATTTTTTCTAAACACCGGGTCTCTGTGGCTTTCAAACCCCAAAACACGCTGCGCCAAAAACTGGTCCACCCCAAGGATCGGGTCCCCCGACACAAACAGAGTAACATAGTGTACGCTGTTAAGTGCCAGGATTTATACATCGGGGAAACCAAACAACCTCTGGCTACAACACAGAAGAGCCACCTCGTCAGGCCAGGACTCTGCAGTCTATTCACACCTACAGGCCAGTGGACACTCTTTCAATGATGAGGATGTAACATCCTGGATAGGGAGGGACGCTGGTTTGAGGGCGGAGTCAAGGAGGCCATTTACATGAAAAGGGAAAGACCATCTCTGAATCGAGGAGGGGGCCTAAGGGTCCATCTGTCACCATCTTACAATGCTGTGATTGCAGCCATTGACCAGCTCTCTGTGAATGGGACTCATGGCTCAACTTTTATATTTCTGAAAGCTTTCTTTGTTTGCAGCATTCTTCACACCTGCCTAAAACCTTGCACAGAGTACTCAAGGAGGCTGTGATGTTTGAATAATGCTCAGATGGTACTGATGAGCCCAAAGTGTAGCGTGAAAATGTCGAGACTCATCAGACCAGACTGTGAACTGTCGCCTCAGTTTCCTGTTTTTATCGGTGTTCAGAGATGCGTCTGCAAAGTGTGCAGGCGGCAATTTAAGATACTGTTTCCTTCTCGTGAGCTCAAAGCAGACCAAGCATTCCCTCAGTACCCCAAAGCATTTTCACCCAGAAAACTGTTACTCAATGGGTGTTTTCTATTTTAGGACTATGAGTACCTAATGAAGTGATCATTGAGTACATATACAGCACTATGGAAAGTGTAAAGTAACCACACATTTCTTTATAGTTTGCTTCCAGGGAGCCAGAGTTTCTTAATAGTTCTCCAGGATTCACAAAAGTTTTTCTGTGTCGCCTAAACATCATTTGTTCTCAGCTGAACTCTTCGACTGTTTCTTCAATTAAATCTACAACAAATAGCAAAAATAATCACCAATAAGTTGATTCCTAAAGAGCTATGAGCAGACTACCTGAGATATTTCAGCACTGACAGAAACACAGAGCTGGAGATGGCAGAGCTGAAGTCGTTAAGATTTTCACTGGAGGTGATCCGATTGGACAGCAATTAGAAATGAGGAGATGAGAGGGACAGCTGAGCGGTTTGGAGACATGAGGCTGAGGTGTTATTGAGGATTTCCTAACCTAAGATTAGACAGGACAAGAGAGGATCCTGAAGTTTGGGAGGATTTAGTCGCGTCACACCAAATAACAAACAATACGTTCTGCACTAACCTGTGAATCACTCATGTAAATAAAGGCACTTAGCTCAGGGGCGTTTACCATAAACACCACTTCCTCCTCTTAGTAGGTGAGAGGCCACCTCCTGCAGCTGTAATGCAACACCTTTGACCAAAAACCACAGCCGGCCACTTGTCTCGATCTGTTTTCCACTCATACCTGTGAAGTAAGAAGGCTGCTAGTCATTGCTTTGACTTCTTCCCTCCAACCTTTACTTTTCTACCATGCGGTCTATAAATAGAAACATCAAAACAGTTTCCTGTAGAACACAGCTGTCCAACTCCAGGCCTCGAGGGCCGGCGTCCTGCAGGTTTTAGATGTGGGCTTGATCCATCACAGCTGATTTAAATGGCTACATTACCTCCTCAACATGTCTTGAAGTTCTTGAACTAACCATATGATTCAGGTGTGTTTACCCAGGCTGAGATCTGAAACCTGCAGGACACCGGCCCTCGAGGCCTGGAGTTCAAAAGCCCTGCTGTAGAAGATTCCTGGTTAGCTAACATCTGTAACACGACGCACTCCAAAAACAAAAAGCAGACAAACATACAGGTCTGCTGTGGTGTGTGAGAGGACACAACAAAGGCTTCTGTGCTGAGACCAGTTCTGTTTACATTATACAGAATATATTTAGATGATATCCAACTTCATCTGTCTGTGAATCACCACGACACAAATCTCTGTCACCCTGAGGCGAGTGTTGCTCTGTTTAACTATATAAATGTCCAATACTGAAATTGATTTAAATGTGTTTTCTGTCTTTTGAGGTTTGTTATATTTACCCAGGTTCTTTAACAGCACCTAAAATGCTTTTCTTTGTTGAAGGACTCATGAGGCTTCCACATATTTTTAGCGAGGTTTCTTCAGCAGAATGAGAGCATGAGCATGAAGGTAAATGCCAAAAGCATGATAATAATTAGTGACATGAAACATTAAACATGTGAAAGTAAAAGTAAAGCCCTTCTTGTTTCCCCCTCTCTTCAGCTGTCTGCACTTCTAGCAGTGAAGCTCTAACTTGTTGTTTTCTCCTCCCTGTACTTCAATAGTACTGTAACAGTAAATGTAGGAGCCAATTAAAGGTTAATTTTATTGGTACTGGTAAAATGATTAGAGGAGAAATATACATGTTTGATGTTAAGAATATAATTTCTAGTTAATTTCAAAATTCTGTTTTGTTAAAGGTATAGAATATAGAAGTGTGACATTTTAATGCACTTTTTAGTATTTTGGGCTTCCGGCACACTGTAATTACGTAGTTGGGGAGTCGGATAAGCTGGAAGCAACACAGTTTTTTGACCGAGTCTTGCCATGTAAATTAAAAGTTTCAATAAACATCTTTTTTGCAAGAAAAGTACCTGGACTTGCTCGCGTTTCAAATGCATGTTGCCGGACTGACTCCTAAAGGTGGTACAGAAGAGTGAAATAGAGACGGAGTGCCGCCACTACAGTAAAGCTTTGAACAAACAGAGGAAGTGAAACACTGACCACAAAGACAAACCAGTGTCTCAGTCTGTCTGTCAGTGTCTTCATCAGCTCTGCTGCAGTTTGATTGCACGTTTAAAGAAGGAGTCATTCAGTCGGCTCATTAAAACGTAAGGATGGCAGTTTGGGACAAAAACAGTCTGTGGGGGCTCCTGTTCCTGCTGGCAGGTAAGACTCTGACTGTGATGATGATGAAGCTTCTGTTTTCACATCAAACTGTTGTTAAAGAACAAACTCCACTGTGACTGAAGCCTTTTTCGTGATATTTTGATTGTTTCACGTGTATGAAATGTTATCACTCTCAGAAACAACAGAACGAGAACACAGAATCAAAGACGTTTGAATCTTTAAATCTGAAGTTGATCTGGGGACACTTTTTGATTGCGTTTGATTCCAGATTCAAAGATCTGATTGTTTGAACTGAAACTTTGTTTTAGAGCTTCACACACAGCAGTCTGTATTTTCTGTCTCTAAACTGAGTCACTGTGTTCGAATCTCAGCTCTGTGTTTGCTCTTCTTTAGGTGCTGTGGGTCAAACTGTGATCTTTCCTTTCACGTCTACCTGTGCTGTCAGAGGATCCACTGTCACCCTCCCCTGCACCTTCACACCTCTGAAGTCTTTCTTTGATGGTCGGAGAGAAGTTCCACCAGAGCTCATCAGAGTCCTCTGGTATCAGAGCCAGCAGCATCAGCTCTGTCAGCTCACCAAACCATTTGTGTACGACAGTGATTCAAAAAATCACAAACAACGCTTTGAATATCTGGGAGACAAGAAGACAAACTGCACTTTACAGATCAGAGACGTGCAGCAGAGAGATCACGCAACCTTTTGCTTCAGTATGGAAGTCGATCACACAAAAGTACATTTTAATATCAGCAGAGGAGTGACTGTCAGAGTTGTTGGTAAGAACATGTTGTGCCAGCACAAACATCTGCTGTATAAATTATATTAGGAATCTACAGACGCAATTATATTTATCTTGTTGGTGATCTAAAGAACACCTCGCTGACTTTAGTCTGTGTTATAACCTCCAGAGATGTATCTGATCTAACAAGCGTCATAGAGTCAAACACCAGCAGTAATGAAGAATTTATAATAAATCATCACAAGTTTAACAAACAAAAGTTAAGTATCAGCAGTCCCTACATGAGTGAAACTTCATCTCTTAATAAAAAAATATCATTGAATAGAACAGAATTCAACTTTATTGTCATTGCACATGTCACAAGTACAAGGCAATGAAATGCGGTTTGCATCCATCCAGAAAGTTCTTTAGCCACAATATAGATATATTGCAAAATCTGGGTCTGTTATGGGTCTGTTACAATGTACATGGTATGAAGGTATGTTATGAATATGCTGTGACTATAAGTATGTACAGGCTGTAGTGAGTATACAAGCTATAAATATGAAAACTATACAGAAATATGAAATATGAACATACAAGTTATAAACAGTTGTAGAATTATAATTATCATATTGTAAAGAATGATTGTTTATACAGAATCATACAGTAGTGCAGTTAAGATCAGTGAGATATGTGGATAATTTCTACAGAGGCTATAAAGTGCTAGTGGTTGTGAGTGGTGGTT